CGTTGCCCTGATTTGACAATTAGTCCTAATTTCTCTTCTTCCCCTGTATATAGTTCTGCTTGCAGCTGACACACTTTTTTTTATTAACTTCAATTATGAAGTGTTAGTAAATATTTAACAGGGTGAACAAGTCATAAAAAGCATAGATTAATTAAAATTCATTTTCACGTTTTTGTGTTAATATCACTATATGAATTTCATCATCATGTCATTCAATTTTTTTTAAAAATTTGTGTTGGTATGTTCAAACAGTTCGGATTTGGGTTTTATACTTGTGCAATATGCTATTACTTTTAATGTTAATTTCTGCTAAGGCCATTTTCAAAATCCTATATTTTTTTCTTGAGAGAAATTGATCATAATTATCTTCTCTTTTTTATGGCATTATTTTTTATATATTCATCAATCACTGTTAAAATACAATGTGACTTTTGGAATTGAAAATTGTCGCTTTGCAATTGGTCTGTTTTTCTTGGTATCTTTTAGAGCAATTATTTGCTACATAAACATTTTTAGAAAGAATATACAATCTGAGGAAACGGTTAAAGTTCAAAGATATTAAAAGATTCAACAACCCAAAAGTGAAATCATTTAATAACGTTATCTTGACACGTTTCCAGATTGGAGTTAAGTCTTTCGACACGGAATAATTTATTTGCTACCTTGATTGTGATAAAATTGAAATCTAATCGGAAACAATGCCCGACAGATTATATCTCGAGAGAGTGCAAATATTACCTAAGATAGTATTATAACAATTTTAAATAATTCACCATTATTATTTAGAATAAAAAAGTAATGTTTCAGCAGAGTAAATTATGACTTTCAATGCCAATTGACATGGTATTTTGGTCTGTGAACATTATCCAATTCACACATGCCTAAGTGTTAATCATCCTGGGACTGACAGGAATTCGGTGTTTAACGTTTTCTCTAGCTAAAGAATTTTCTTTATTAATCTTACTGTACACAATATTTGAGAAAATTGCTTCATTGTTTTAAAATCTAAAATAATAATTTAAAAAAAGACTAATTTTTTACTTTGGTGTATTTCACAAGTAAAAAGTTAAAATCTTTGGCAGACCTGAACTTTTAGGTAAAGATATAGATGATTTAAAGCTTTTTGTACATTAAAGAGGAAGCAGGGCTGGTTAAAAATGTATACAATTTATAGAAAGAAAACTGGTTGTAACTGTTCTTCACAATAAAGAAAAACAGCCATTATTAATAAAATCGGACACTTATAAATGAGGACTGATTATATGGTCCCACCGTATAAAGTCTCGTCTCAACAGACTAAAAAGGAAAGGAAGAACTCAGGAGAGGAATATCAGATACAATAACATGGTATATAAATGGCTCTAAAACAAATGAAGGAACCAGATGCGGTGTTTTTTTGTATAAGCCCAAAGCATGAGCAATCAAAATTCATTAGGGAAGTCTTTCAAGCTGAAAAGCCATCAATGTTTGCGCCTAATAAAATTTTAAAAGGGTTATGGCAAAAAATCTTGTAAGATTGGATAGCCAAGAAGCTATTAAAGCATTAGCATGAAAAAAAAACCAAAATCTCCAAAACCTGGGGAAACACAACTTGATATCTTGGGACCAGGCCACATGGGAAGAAAAAGCAGACTGGCCAGATGAGGATCTATAGGTCCTGAACCTATTCTTGGAATGAAAAAAACAACACAGAATCCTCTACCACAAAATGGATAAAAAAAGGATAAACTCTAGATTGCAGCATGGTCTGAAATGTTTTCCAATCTTCTTCATATTATGGGGGCTCGTCATCGAGAGAGTTGTATTTCTCGTACTGTGGACTCAAATAGATTCAAACTCTACAAGGAGTTGAATCATTCCCTAACTCCTTGCAATGTTTTTTCTGCAACAGCAAATGATGTTCCGTTCTCTTTTTTCCGCTGGTGGTTTAAAATTCGAGGGGAGTTGTTGTTCCTGAATTTCAGACCTTGGGTTGGGAGTACTCCTGCCACTGCAGTGTGCTCTCTATGCAACTCAGGTGATCGTGAGGATGCATTTCATTTTCTGGCTAGATGCTCGGTCTGAACGAATTGAGGTATCTGTATGTGGGTAGGGGTTTTCTGATGAGGGAAGGGCTCATAGCCTTTCTGAACGGCTCCGATTGCCGGGGTCTTGTTGATTTTGCTCGGAAAGCCTGGTTTTACAGATATGAATACATTGGAATGTAGGGAATTAATATTCTGTTCTTCTTATTTTGTTTCTTTTTTGTTTGTCTTTTTTTTTTTTTTTAAATTTTGTTCTGTTTGTCTTAATACATATAATTTCTAGTTTGTGGGCTTCTAAATGCGAATTCTATTGGCCTGTGGGGGACCCTATGTAAGTTAGAATCCTTTTGTTCTTTGAAGTGTCATTTTTATTATTTTCAAAGTTTATCGCAATTCAACCTTGTAATTATATAATTATGCTATTCTTGGGATAGTAATGCACTCCGAACTCTCGCTGATGGTTTTAATACCATGCCATAATAATACTGTTTTTTATTTTTAACTTTAAATTTTTTCATTTTGTAAATAAAGTATATCTATCTATCTAAACTCTAGAGGTGTTAGAAGCAAGCATATCCCAAAACAACCTTCAACAATACTAGCAGCTAGAGAGGGCTAAACACAGAGAGTAATATGACTGAGAAAACATGATCCCATCTGCAGATTATGTAATGAGGAGGAAGAAACAGCCACCCATATCGGAAGTCTTTCAAGCTGAAATGCCATCAATGTTCGTGTCTTATAAAATTTTAAAAGGGGTTCTTGCAAAAATTTTCATAAGATTGGATAGCCAAGAAGCTATTAAAGCATTAGCATGAAAAAAAAAACCAAAATCTCCAAAACCTGGGGAAACACAACTTGATATCTTGGGACCAGGCCACATGGGAAGAAAAAGCAGACTGGCCAGACGAGGATCAATAGGTCCTGAACCTATTCTTGGGATGAAAAAACCATACAGAATCCTCCACCACAAAATGGATAAACTCTAGAGGTGCTAGAAGCAAGCATATAATAAAACAACCCTCACCAATACTAGCAGACTTGCTGCTGCAGCTAGAGAGGGCTAAACATGACTGAGAAGCATGATCCCATCTGCAGATTATGTAATGAGGAGGAAGAAACAGCCACCCATATCATCTTTGAATGTAAAGCCTGCTCAACCTTGATGAGACGCTGACCTGTGATACAAAGACCCCCCCCCCCAGAAAGGAATTCTATCAATGCAATGACCGTTGCACACTTCTTAAGAGAAGGATCGAGTTGATTGCATTGGTCTCTAGAACTAGGAAAGCACAATAAGCCAGAAGGCTGTAGTGCTTGGGAAACAAAAATCCACACTCCCTAGTATCAACTATCATCATAAAGATGACATACCTAGAATTTTTTTAAACTTATGATTTTTTTGGGTAGTTCGACGTTAAGCCCTCCTATATGACAGGAATTACTTTACTTTTTATGCAAGTAATTATATACGATTTTTCAAATTGAAAAATTTGTGTCAGGCAGGTTTCAAACCCAAAATCTTTGGATAAAATAATAAAAATTATAATAAAAGTTTAAAAAAAAGGCATATTAACCTCGAATCACACTTGTGGAACTTACAAAGTCCCGAACATTTTTAAGAAATTGTGCTATTATATGAAGCAGTTTGATTGGAAATTAGAAAAAGGAATAGGATTGAGAAGTTTGTGTCAAAGTAGATCAAGTGGTGGATCTTTGGAGTATTTATCATCGAAGATCGTGGGTTTGAATCTCGCTTGACACAAATTTTTCAAACCAAAAAATTGTGCAGAATAGCTTGATTACCTAGGACTAACACTCGGCTGCAAATTAAATTTTAGTGAACACATCAAAAAATCTTGTCAAATGTAAAGCCATAAGTAGAATACTTTTTCTATTGCTTACGAGGAAATCTGGAATGATCATACCAAACAAACTAATCTTATACAAGGCCATTGGCATAACTGTTACTACTTCTCTGTCTTTCATGGAGTAGCACAATACCTACAATATAACTGAAAGTCTATCAATTCTAGTCAGAATCCATTCTTAATTTCTGCCATTGTTTGATATCTCTAAGTTATTTCACTGTCCCTAAACATTACTTCTTCCTAGCGCTACTGCTGTTAAGCATGTGGTGTTTTGTCCCACATTTTCATTTTCAAGATGAAAACATCTTCCAACCCCCCCCCCTTTGAATGTATGTCGAAAGAGGACAATAACCAAATTATTAGAATGTATCTATAATTTTTGTAATTAAAACATATTCATTCAATTGCTGAAAAAGTAATGGAAGAAAAATGCAATTTATTTTCACTTTATAATATGATTGCATTAGCACATCGAGAGATAAGTAAAGAGTAGTAACATTCTGATAGCGATTGTAAATTTAGAAAAGGCATTTTGAAATCAAGGTCTGTATGAAACAGACTTACAGGACAACCCAACAAACCTAAATTGAATTGTCCTTGGTCTTTTTATCTTGATTTTACACACAAGTGTCATATCCTAAGGTCAGTGGAATTTAAATGAATCACAATTTGTGGACGCCACTTTTGAATAACTGTATAAACTCTAAATATATTAATAAAAACAGGAACAGTCTTTCATTTAAAATTATATCGCAAAAAATAAACAAAACGCTTGTTTCTAAAGTGTAATCCTTAGAAGGAATTTTTGCAAAAAGTAAAACTTCCATAAACTAAATACATTTTTACTAAATAGCTTTTGCTATTTTATGAATAAAGAATGGTATGTTTATTATATACAATGTTAAAATCTTTAGTTACGTTCATCTTAAAACATTTCCGAGTTGTTAAGAATGACCTCTCACTGCCATTTTTTTAGGTCAATTTCGTTATGGAAATTATAATAAAAACACCAAAATTAGAATTTTAAAACTGGGTTGGTGCTGAATAACTAGTCCAAATTGATAAACTATTAAAAATACAATAGTTGATTATTGTGTCTTTAAAGTTGCAGGAGACAAGTTGAAGCTTTTGCTAAGTTTTGCCGTAGGCGGCCTTCTTGGAGATGTATTTCTTCACTTGTTACCGCAAGCATGGACAAACCATAGCAAAAATGTCACCTTGAAAGGTATCATTTTGAAAGTTTTATTGCTTTTAAAGAAAATAACCTATATATTTTCAGATATTAAAGATCACCCCTCGATGTTCTGTGGGCTTTGGGTCCTAGCTGGGCTTTTGGTATTCATAATCGTTGAAAAGCTTTTTGCTAAGGACAAGAGCTTGGAAGAGGAGATAATGAAATCAAAATCAAACTGCACAAGAGAAACTACCAACAACAATGTTGCCGTCACAACAAAACCTGAGAATGCCAAAGAAGTTAGTATTTACGATTTACTGATTTGTTATTTTAGCCCGATTTTATTATATATTAATTTTTATGCAAAGAAGGTTGAGATGAAAAATAAATATTGTTAGAGAAAGAGGGAAAAATTATAATAGTTAGTGGTTGAGTTGAGCAGTTGGTGTCTTGGTCCGAAGTCAAACCAGCTCAGGTGGTAGAGCACCAGGGTATTAATCTGCATGTTATGGGTTCGAACCCCTCTCGACACCAATTTTTCATCTTAAACTTCTTTGAATCAAAATTAATTAATGATCTACGATATATACAGTAAAATTAATTTCCAGATAAGCGGATACCTCAATCTGATGGCCAATGTGATCGACAACTTCACCCATGGCTTAGCAGTAGGCGGTTCGTTCTTGTTGAGCTTGAGGGTCGGCGTACTTACGACGCTCGCCATCCTCATTCATGAAGTGCCACATGAAGTGGGCGACTTCGCAATCCTAATGAGAGCTGGCTTTTCACGTTTGGAAGCTGCCAAAGCTCAATTGGCAACAGCTTCATCTAGTCTTGTTGGTGCCTGCACTGCAGTCGCGTTCAGTTCCACGTCACAACTAATCGGTAATTTCTCTTGTTTAAATTTTCCCACTAAAATGTATACTCCTGATTTGAAATGAATTACTTTTTCCTTAATAATTTTCATTAAAATGTAATTAAATTACTATTGACCTGGGTTATTGCTCAAAAAAGGTGATTGTAAAAATTTGTTTTTCAGAACAAAAAACGTTGTGGATTCTGCCTTTCACATCAGGCGGGTTTCTTCACATAGCTCTAGTGACTGTTCTACCCGAGCTCATTGAAGAGAAAAACCCTAGAGAGTCATTCAAACAGATCTCTTTTCTGATTCTGGGCATTGCTGTAATGGCAGGCATGACATTCGTCTTGGATGAATAGAGTGAATGAAGTCCAACAATGTTAAGAATCTAAAAAAAAATATAAAAAAATCGGGTATATATTAACACATGTATAACTTGTTTTTTAATTAGCATCTTATAACAAGAAGCCAATCCATTATCGTTTAAAGAAAAAATTATATTTTTATGGTTAATTATATATATTTAATAATAATCTGTTACCAAATTGTCACTAGCTTTAATGATAGAAGATTTCAAACAAAATCAATTGCTTCAGTATTATTTTTGTGTATAATTTTTGCTACTTTTTTATTATTATTTTTAGTGAATTTAATAAAAAAGCAAGTGTTTTTCCTTAGACAAAACAATATAAGTGATATTAATTAAATATTAGACTGTTCAAATTTTGTATCACAATGTCAACAAATTCAAGAGTAAATTTTTTTTTTGGTAATGAGCTTTTGTCCATTGTAATTAATCAATTTTCCTTTGGATAACTTGCCTGAATTTTATTTATGATTATGCTAGACTCCTTGTATTTGAGCAATGGTTTCTTTTGATAAATCTTTTATTTTTCTATACATAAAAATTGTATAATTTTGCTGTTGTTGTAAATAATGTATATACAGTAGAGTATATGTGATACGCTATGATAACTATTGTGATGTTCCTTTTGGCGAACAAATTTTGTGTATTAAAATATATTTTATGAATTGTATTTTTTGGTTAATAAAAAAATCTAAATCTAAATTTTTATCACCCAGATCGAAGGAAAAAAATGATGTTGACATATTCAATGAAGGCTGGAATTTCAATTTTCACCGTCCCAGTTGTCAAATTTTTTTTACAAATTAATTTTCTTGCGCATTACGCCTCATTAATTGTCTACAAGTCAGCCATCTCATGGGATGACTTCAAAAGCTCTCTCAAGTTTATACTCAGTCGACTTAAGTTGCAGGGTCCAAATAAGAAATGGATTTATTTTAAGGAAATAGAAATATTTATATCAAAAATAAATATATTGTTAGACATGTTTGAAACCTAATTCTATGTTTACTCCTGACATTATTTCCCTAAAAACCACCACAAAAATATAACCCCAACTAAAAATTCTATAAGTAAAATTTCATTGAAATATTAATTAAAAATTTTGTAATGTATATACAGTACTGACTCAGTAATCTGAACTAATTCTGCAACTGCAAGAGCCAATTACATAAAACATTTATGTAAGCAGCACCAAATTTTTTTACTGGTTTTACATATTAGGCAGATTCAATGTATTCAGCATGTATATATCATATTATTGGGAAAGGGAATATAAATGAAGATTCCAGGGATGACAAAGGGAATCGGGCCCATGACCTCATGGTCTACAAGCGTCTTTCAAGCTAACCACTAGGCTACCGCGGTACACCAACCAATAGTTAACACTCGCACTGCCATCATGAGAATTTCTTTTTTGCTTGTACTGTTTTTTTTTTAAATTTATTATAAGCTATCCACCAATGTATTCCTCTATTAGGTCTTTCCTGTATGTGAAGTAATTTACTTTGAAAATTTTGAACAAAAATATAATGGGTTTATTTAAGCCTGCCAATCATGGCTTTTTTTTCCCCCAGTACAAACATTTTAGTTGTTTCCATGTACATTCTGGTATGAAAAAGGGTTTTAGCCCTACTACTTGCACCCTAATCTTCACCGTTTGTCCATTGTCATGGTTTTAAATATTGGGTCTAAAGGACCTGACACACTGTTGGCAGTGTGGGTGTAAAAAAGCACGCTTTTATTCAAAAACTGGTTTCGCAGTGATATGAAATAGTAAATGCTCATCATCACACTAAAGAAGTTACTGCTAGGAATCTGGTTCACTGCAAAACCAGTTTGAGAATAGAACTTTTTTTTCTTTCAACTATTGAATTGATATACTCAATCCATCATAATTATTTTTAGTACCTTACATTTTATAAATAACAAGAAAAACATTTAAATTATAAATAAAAAGAATGATGTACATAAGTTCAAATTCAAGAACACACCAGAACTTTTTTGTTACTTTTCATGTTCATATTTCATTATAAACAATTTTTTTAACCAAGGAAAACAGACGTCCCAGCTGCCAGGGCCCGAGACCCCGACCACCCAGACAGATGGGAAGGGGATACCTCCAACAATCATTTTAACCTTATTTTTATACTATAAACAATTTTGTTTTTATTAATTACAAGGTAATGTGGAAATTATTGGGTTTTGGAAAATTATGTATCACATGGGATATATTAAAAAAAAAGAAATTAAAAAATGGTTTGGAGTGGCCTGAATTCGGTTTGCATTACCGAGACTGCACTGTATACTACTTAACTTTGTTTAATTTTCTCCCCTCAATATACATAATAAAATGTTCACAACCCTCCTGTAACTGATATAGATGCACCTGTGATGTATGAACTCCAATCTGACGCCAGAAAAGTAATAACCTGTGCAATTTCTGCAAAGAGATCACATTTTTTGTTAAGCCGATTAGAAAAACCATACTGCAAAATATTTACCCTGGGGCTGACCAAAACGTCCGAGGGCGATCCTTTTACGGAACATATCTTTTACTTTTTCTGGTATAGATTCAGTCATTGGGCTTTCTATAAAACCAGGCACAACCGCATTGCATCTAATGCCGTGCCTGCAATAAATTCATAACAGCCTGTTGTAATTCTCAATCAAATATACTTTTAAAAGGACAATCACAATGAAACATAATGCCTTACATCCCCATCTCTTTAGCCACTGTTTTTGTGAGCGCCTCGACACCGGCTTTGCTCGCTGAGTAATTCGCTTGACTGATGTTTCCCGTCTGGCCGACAATGCTTGCCAGATTAATTATGCTCCCATTGAGCTGTGATTCCACGAGTTGTCTACATGCTTTCTGGACTACATTGAAAGTTCCCTAAGTCAAAACTTCATTTATAAGCATTCAGAATGTTTTATTCATTCCCCCCACAAAAAAAGCAAACCTTACGGTAAGGTTAGTATTGATGACTTCATTGAACGAATTTAAAGGCATCTTGAGCAAGAAGTTATCTCGTATTATGCCAGCTGAGTTGACGACTACCGTCGGTGGTTCTTTGTACTGTGTCAGGATCGAGTTCCAAGCTTTCTCCACATCTTCGGCTGAGCTCACATCAAGTTGAACTGCCATATGGCCGTCTCCTTAACAGTTAACAAAATGCGCCAACAGGAAAAAATAAATAGTATGAAAACAGTTCAGAATTTATAATTTGATCCTTACTGGTCAAATTGGTCTATTAGATATTGTTTCGGCGTCTTCATTGATTGATATAAGAGTGAGGAAAGAAGAATCTAGTCAGATTATGAATAGATTGATAAATTGAATATTTCCCTTGTTTAAAGGTATGTCAAAATGAAGAACTGAAGATGGCAAAAGCCAAAAAGACCTTCCAGTGAGTGTCTGCAGAACAAAATGATCAGTAAGGATCAAATTAGAAGTTCATCACCCTGTGGACTACAGGAGGAAATTGTACAAGTTCAGAATTTATCCAAACTAATAAGTAATGTTAAAATATGCATAAAATGTTCTGGTTCTTCAAAATATACTCAAAGACAAAAACCCGGACACTCCTATTTTGTTGTTAATTTCAAATGTAAGTATATTATCATTATATTTAATACAACCTACTTATTTTAAAGATGAGATCAGAAATTCATGAATTTTAATAAAAATTATTTAATTACGATGGTTTGAATGAAAATTTACCAAAACAGAGGAAAATCATTTAGTTGTACATTTTGCTCGTAACTCCTCTGGCTTCATAGAAAGGGTCTTAAATCTCATAGGCATCGAGTAAATAAGCAACCAGATTTCATCTTGTGAAACAGAATCCCATTCATCAAGAAGAGCGGTTCAAAGTTGGTCAACACTTGTTGGAGACGATGTACGATGTCTATCCAGTCTCTTTATGTTCAGTCCCATAAATGTTCTATATGATTCATGTCAGGTACCAATTTCCTTGGGTAATCCCTACATCCTCCAAGTAATTGGTGACAACTCAAGCTGCAGCAGTCGAGCAGTGCCATAAATTAATCCAAAGTTGACCCCCCAAAAAATAGAGCAAAGGGGAGCATAGCTTCTTAAAGAACTTCCTCAATGTACTTTAGTCGAATAGATCCACCTGTATGAAAATCAGTTCGGTACGGGCATTGATTCCATCCCATACCATAACTGTCTTTGAAAAGGATTATTCATGGTACAAGAAGCAAAGGGTTTTCCACGTCTTTTCTATATACAATCCCAGTCATCTGATTGTCACAAACCAAGCCAGCACTCAACTGTGAGGAAAAAAGCCCCATTGTTCAAACATCCAAGTAAGATGCCGATATGCAAAATCGCCTTTTTCTCGAAGCATCTCCAGCAGTAAAGAACGTGATGCTGGACGCCTAGAAACTAGCTATTCTCACGAAGTCTTCCAGTCACTGTTTTAGAGTTCACCTTATATCACAAACTTAAATGATGCTCGGTAAGAGCAATAAAACGATCGTCTCAAGCTATCATACATCATGGTCGACCACTACCTTCTCTTCAATTGTGACTTCTGGCAGCACTAAACCGGTCATTTAGGACGTCATGGATGGTAGCACTGCATACCCAGGACTTGGGATATGTAACAGTAGCTACAAGCTCACTTGACAAGTCAGCTCTGGAAAGAACATTAATTAAGGTTTTTAGTTGAGATGAAAAAAAGTTAATGGCACGAGAAGGATTCGGACCCACGACCTTCGGCTAGATACGCCGCTGCTCTACCATCTGAGCTATCGTGCCCTCGATTGAAAAATGGCAAAAGGAGGGAAAACTCATAAGGTGGGGTTGAGATGGGGAATTGATGTCCGAGTGGATCGAGGTCACGATACCTCAGGTGGTAGAGCAGCGGCGTATCTAGCCGAAGGTCGTGGGTTTGAATCCCTCTCATGCCATTAACTTTTTTTCATCTCAACTAAAAACCTTAATTAATTGTCTTGTATTAATTGGTCAAGCGGACCACGAAAATAGTGAATTCTGGAAAGAACATTGAACTGATTTTCTTTACTTTTAATCTAAAGAGTGTTAAAGAATTAGTAACATTCTATAAAGGTAAACAACAAATTATTAATGTTGTGTTTGTTTTAAGTCAACTATTAATCTTTACACCAGGACACATTATGGTCAATAAACAAATAAATACAAGTGTACTATTTGCAACACCAAGAATTTAAAAAAAGTATGTTCATAACTGAAATACCAGAGAGGTCTCAATGCGAAATTTTTCCCTTTCGAGCTTTTTTCCCAGTTCAATTTTTAAATTTTAATCGAGGGAATTGGCCCTACAGCGACCGAGGTAGTAATTTTTTTACCTCGGAGTTGTTCGACGGTGCGTTGGGCGGCATCTTTCTGCAAATCGGCGGACACAACTCGGGCGCCTTCACGGGTCAGCGCCAAACAGGTCGCCCGGCCGATTCCGCTTCCGCCCCCTGCACAAAATCGACCAGTTTCAAAGTGTTCCACTCCTGGGAAAAGTAGAAAATCGCCGCCGCCGACCTGTGACAAGAGCTAATTTTCCGCAGAGCATTTTTATTTTATGGTCTGACTTTCCCACTCGATTCTTCTTCCATGAGGCGAGCTCAGACCTTGTCGGATTGTCCTTGACGGTTAAGATTAAGTTGAATTCTTACCAACAGGGTGGCCAACCTGTCAGAAAATATTTCCCTCAAAAATACCAGAAACCGTCTTTGACTGTTTTAAAAAAACACTTATTCGTTCAAGTAAAGAAAATTCAAAAATCCATCCATGTTTAGCGTAATAATTGACCACATTAATTATTTTAAACTTAACTTTAACTTTAAACGTTTCGGTTGGGATGAAAAGTGACGATAGATCAAGTGGTTAGAGCAGCCCCGTATTGAGCGTAGTGGGTTCGAATCCCGATGACCCGATCATGACACTAACTTTTTCATCTCAACCAAGATCTTAGATAGAAAGAATAATTAACTGAAAAAATCCAAAACGTTACAATATTAAATTCTTCTGTTAAGTCCTAGAATATATTTTTGAATATTACTATCCATTTCATATTTCAAAATATGAAACGGGAAGAATTTTTTATTATTGCTGCCATAAGGTGATTAATAATAATAATAATTATTAAAATAATAAATAATTAATTAATTGAAAAATCCAAAAAGTTACAATATTAAATTCTTCTGTTAAGTCCTAGAATATATTTTTGAATATTACTATCCATTTGTTTTATTTCAATATACGAAGCATAGGAAGATTTTTTTTATTATTGCTGCCATAAGGTAAAATAGTAAATAATTATAAGACCTTAGATAAAAAGAACAATTAATTCAAAAAATCCAAAAAGTTACAATATTAAATTCTTCTGTTAAATTCTAGAATATATTTTTGAATATTACTATCCATTTGTCTTATTTCAATACACGAAGCATGGAAAATTTTTTGTATAATTGCACAAAGTAATTAATAATAATAATAATAATAATAATAATAATATTAAAATAATAAATAATAACAAGAATAGTGATTATTTTGTTAAAAATTCCCTAGTATCGTTATCATCGGGATATTTTAGTGGCAACACTGCTGTTCGTTTCAATTTTCAAATTTAAAACATCTTTTTTTTAATGACCATTGCTAATGGATTTTGAATGACGTTTTATTTTTAAACTATAAACAATTTGTTCAGGTTATTTAATTACGTTTGAGCAAAGTTTTCTTAACGGTTGTGTTGACATTTTTATTGCACCCTAACATTTTTTAATCTGTATAGGGGGAAAAAAATTGTTTTTTTTTTCCGTTTTAAAAAAAGAAACCGGGGTCTCGTGATATCCGCGTTTTCAGCGATTACGGCCGCAGTTTTTTTTGTTGTTGTTTTGTGTCGACTCGACCGCCGGATCGCTCGACCAGTGGAAACGTGATAACCGTCGCATTTGGTAAACAGTGGAAACGGACCCGATTTGAAAGTGGATTTCGAGCGTGAGATCGCTACTCGTGGTGTTGGGCTATTTCGACAAAAGCCCGGCGCCTTTTTCCCAGACGGAAAAACCCCGGGAAATCCGGCCGATTTTCCTATTTTTCTAGAGCAAGGTTAAGTTGGCGCGCGATGCCCGCACCCTGCTGAACCCGGGCCCACCTCCGGCCGGACCGTTGCCGTGATCCGCCCCTGAGATGACAATCGCCACGAGCTAGGCAAAGCGTTCCGAGGATGGTCTCGCCCCAGAAGAAGAATAAACCGGAGAAGAAGAAAACGCCTGAAGAGCTCGTCAAAGACAACGGTAACAGTCCGTTTTTTATATCTCTGTTGTATTTCACCTTTCTACGGCCTTTCATCAGGATTTTACTCCCCTTCCCTTTCGTGTACTATTTTCTTTTCATGTTGTCATCTCATGTTCCATATGGTTTATGCTAGATTCTCCTCTCATGTATGTGGTTTCTCAGTGTCAGCTAAAAACCAAGAAGTCACCCATTTCAACAATTCTCTTAAGGAAGACATTCTTTATATATAAAATTTTCATCAAAGAACGGTAACCATCCGTTTTTTTCATATTACTATTTCATTTCACCTTTCTACATCTTCTGGTCAGGTTTGCACTTCCCTTGTCTCTTGTGTTCTGTATTTTCATGTTGTCATTTCATGGTCCGTATGCTTTATGCTGGAACCTCCTTTCAGGCATGCAATTTCCCAGTGACAACTAAAACCCAAAAAGTCACTATTTTCAACAATTCTATTAACAAAGACGTACTTTATATGTTAAACTTTAATCAAAGGCAACGGTAACCATCTGTTTTTACATATATCTATTTCACTTTTCTTCGGCCTCTGGTCAGTTTTTTACTTTGATTGTTGTTCATGTTGTCATGGTCTATTTGCTTTCTGCGAGATTCTCTTCTCAATGCTCTCAAGCATGCGATTTCCCAGAGACAGCGAAAGCCTAAAAAATCACTGTCCAATTATTCTATTATTGAAGACGTTCTTTATATGTAAAACTTTCGTCAAAGACAACGGTAGCCGTCCGTTCTTTCATCTTACTATTTTATTCCACGTTTCTACGTACTCTGGCCAGGTTTTTACTTCCCTTGTCTCTTGTGTACTCTAATTTTTTCATGTTGTCATCTCATGGTCCTTATGGTTTTGCTATATCCTCCTCTCAGGGCTTCAATTGCCCAGTGACACCTAAAACCCAAAAATGTCACCCTTTCCAACAATTCTATTAGTGAGCGTGTTCTTTACATGTAAAACTTACCGTTGGACGTGTGCCCAAATTCAGTCTAAATGTTTGAATAAATTGGCCTGGCGTTCAATGTCTGCCAAGGTTTGAAACAAGGTAAACAAATGAATTTGCAAAACTTAACTGTTGGATTTACAACTTAAAACTTTGCAGTTACATTATTCAATCAAGCAATACAATGTTAAAGCTATCGAACACATTACCAAAATAATATTGGCTGGTATAGTAAATCTGAATATAATTTAATATCAGAGAACATGTGCAAGTCGATTGATCTCTTGAAAAAAACACTCGCATTTAAATAAAAACCTATATATATGAATAAGCAGTTCAAATAAAAATGAGTGTTCTTATCTGAGCAGGTATATTGGCTTTGTGTATTTAAATAAGCATTGAATTTATTTATTTATTTTCGTAGAAGTGCAGATCAAGTTTATTCCCATCTGTTGGTTACTCCATTGAAATAAATGCAATATAGCAATTTATTCCAAAGGGATTTTTAATCGAACCGAATGCATTTTCAATTTATTTGGAATTATTATATGTGAAAGAAGGAATGCTACCGATTTTGCAATATTCAATGGAAAATGTCTATTATCTTCAGGCTATCAGACACATCAGTTCATCTTCAGGCCGGAATCGCGTCGAAGACAATAGGATTCGGTTGTGAAAGTATTTGAATATGCGGATTTCCCGTTAAAATCGAAAGCCCAGTTTTTTCTCCACCTTCCAACTCTTCTATAATTATTTGAATTTTCCATTTTGACATTACACCTGGTCTGCAGGATTGTGTACGAAAAGTCCTTCCATTTCTAGCACCGCCATATGTGGTTCAGGGCTGGTGGACACCTTTCCTTGCCTACTTAAAGACAGTTTGTCAACTTTCTTTTCAACAATTGGAGCTGATTTCTTGTTCCTTTTCCAGTATCGAAGAAGGCGAAGAACACCGCCAAGCCATTGATCAACAAGAAGTTCTACCTAGATATCAGAAACCACGCCACTCTCAAGAGAATTGAAAGCAAACTCACAGAACTCGGAGCAGTAAGTACCAAACAGTTTTTATTAACTATAATAGGCCGTCGAAAGGTCTGAGAAACTATTAGGGCTCTATTTCTGCTAACAATTTCTTAAGAATGACGAGTTTTCACCCCAAGAGCATAAAGGGACAGTTTGTCCGAATTCACATCAGACGAATTAACTGCATAGTTTTTTGACCGGTTTTCATAGATTTTATGATGCTACCATTCACTTTGTGAGGCATCAGCATTGCTTTAGTTAAAAGTTAGCATTGCCTTTTAGCAGTCGCTTCATCTCTGAAGAATGAGAAAAAAGGAAAAGGCTCTCAAACTATAATAGTACTATATATTATGCAAGGTGGGCGACCAAGACCTGAGGGGTTAAATGCCTGGATAGACTCGTACCCCATCCCTAAAAGGTCCGGGATTTGGTCGGCTCACGTGTCTTGCATAAACCTCTTGGACTTGTTCACAAACCCCAAGATTTTGGACCATTTTATCTCAGGGAGTGATTTTATGATGTCCTCTCCTTCAAAAGTTTTGAATCTTGACCTGGCATAACTATCACACTCTGCGAGGTAGTGCTGTGCGCATTTCTTCTTTTATTTCACAAAAATGGCAAAAAGGATCTGGTAGAATACCCATTCCGGAGAGGTGTCTTCTCAGTATGGGCACATTAGTATTAATAAAAATGGGGAAATTAGTATTAATACTGTTAGTACAAAATCAGCCGAACAATCTCTATATTCGCTTGTTTTTCTCTAAGCGATGAGAGAGTTGTCAGCCTAAGAGCTTTGCTACTTATTCTTGTGTAGGGGAAGATGAGGTTCTAGACTTTAATAAATCAGAGTATTCTTCAACATTTATTTTAACACGTTCCATCTTTTACATGTACACAAACCACAACTAAATCTTAATCGGTCTAAAAAGTCAGGCAAGCTCTAAATCAGGGATGGGACTATTAACAAAGACTTCCCCAAACAACGCTCACCATAAACAGCGCCCACATCATCTCCAGTGCCTTTCCGGTTTCTCAACTGTCAACCTGATCAGCAACAGCTGGTCCTCGCTGGCTCTGGCTGACTGAGTTCCAGACGAAGTTTGCTACTTCCATTCCGGATCGACTCCTGGAGTCGACTGTTCCCTGACTGGGGCTGAGTCTTTGGTCTTGACTGCGGGCAGTCTTCTGAGGTGACTGCCTCAGGTGAGTCTGATCTTGAGACTTTTGATTTCCAAATCATCCCTTTTTATACAAGTTTCTCTACTGGAGTAGGGGTAGAAAGGAAAATCAAAAATTGGGGAATTCCCACAACGCTACATATTTTTAGCCTTGTTACAACCCTTCACCCCTAAATAAGTTGATGTTAGTTATTTATTTGATTGGTTGTGCAACTATTGTAACTTTGTTTTCTAGGACAAAGTCTGCGAAACTCTTCATTGTTCTTATTTATTTGACCAACAGTGTAATTATTGCAGGGCTAAGTTTCCCTGGTTTGTAAGGAACATCACCTCGCTCCTATCTGTGCTATGACGTCCTTCGACCAACTGCTTAATTATTGAAGAGTTACGTTTCCTAGATTGGTGGGGGATGCCATGTTCCCATCCGGGTGATTGCCCCTTCCAATTTACAGCCTTTTTTGTATGGTTGTTTAAACTAAATTTTTTCTTTGTTCTTACTTTAACAACTGCAACTTATTCTAAAGGTGGCTCCAGACATGTGGGATTTGCTGAATTCTGAGCAAAAGTTCACCAAATCCTGACTAGTATGGGATGGGTGCTCGGTTATTCGCCAAGCAACAGTATTCGGTGCTTGCCTTACTCAGCTAAGCAACAAGCCTTTCCTTGTTGTAACTTTGTTATATCTTTAACTTGTCCCCTTATTCGCTTCAAATATTCGTGCAGTAGCCAAACTCAAATCATCCTCACATTCGGGAATCAACTGTAATCAAGCACCGTGCTGTTTATTTTTCAATAAAACTATTTCAACTAGTATAGATATTATAGCATTGTTTCTGTTGGTAGAAATGGATTGGCCCAACAAAAAAGTCTTAAATTTCCTCCATCTGTACCAAGCTGAACCAATAATTTGGAACGTTACTTTTCTAAATCACAAAAATCAAAACGAGCTTTTTTGATGAGTGGAAACTGATGGAAAGTAAGATGGAGCATCAGTACTCTGTGACTTAGTTTGTAACCACTACAAAACTCAGTAACCACAGCTGCAGGAATGATAGTTTCACTGTAGTCCGTCACGTTTGGTAGTACGTTGAGAACTTGCACGGCTCTTGGAAAATACATATTCGCTGTTTCTGCACATGTAAGAAACATAGGCACACTATTTGACTAATGCCAATATGAGCATCTCAAGACTTGGCAAATGTCTGGAGCCACTTTAAGACAGGGACTGGCTGTAGTATGGACTATTTATTGAACTGAGCATACTTTTTCTGTGCTGCACAATTCTTTAAGCAGGTTTACATGCTATCCTTGGTTCCTGTTCCACGGTCTTATGTTTTGCACCATTTCTTTCCTCCTCCTTCAAAGTTGAACCAAAAGGTTTTCCCTCAGGGGCGTAAAGGGATGCTCAGTTCATTTTTCAGTTTGCCAGAATTCATATTGGAAGAATTAACTGCTTAGTTTTGATATGACCTCTGCTGTTGCGAACCCTTGTTAAAAAAAAAAGGAGAAGAAAAAGAGAGAACAAACGCAGTATTTCAATTATTATTAGTTTTCGAGCGGGCGCTCGACTTCGGCGGTTTCTTATTTTTTCACTGTGAAAGCGAAAAAGACGGCGTTGCCTTGGCGGACGGTCGGTCCCCACGAGCCACCGTCGGCCGGAGGGGGCACCGTTTGCGAGCCTGCGTTTCCGATTCCGCCCCTCCTCCATTAAAAAATACACATTTTATCGATGTGTATAACAAGGTAAAATGAGAAAAAGGACAAACGGTGGAAAGGCGGAAAAAAATCCATAAATCGTGAGAACGCCTTGCGCGCGCCTCTCTCCGAATCGATATCACAGCTCGATAGTCGCCGTCGGCGAGCCTTGCGGCGTTCGGCCCAAACTCGGCTTGTTTGGATCCGGAGAGTTATTGGCCATTTTGTGACGTGCGGTCCGACTTTTCTGTTGTTGACACACGGGATGAGCACCGCGGCCCCAGGAGACGACCGGACGAGCATATCCGAGGAGGAGAGTAGCAGGAGAGGAAGACCTCTTTGAGAAAATCGCGTGAGAGCGAGGCCGCCGTGAGGAAAAAAGGTCTGTAACAACACAGCAATTGATATTCCTATCGCTTTTCGTTTCCCTTCCGTCTCTTCTCCCCCGTCCCTGGCTCGCGACGGAACTAAACACCGTGTACGCGCGACGACGGGGCACATCGTCGCCCGTCGTATTCGGTCCATCGTCGTATCCGCACCTCCGTCCCGCCTTTGTTGACACTGGGAATCGTACCTGGGCGGGCGGAGGTGAATGCACTCGGGCCGCGTACGACTTTCTCGCGTTCGGGAACGTTTCGAAACGACGTCCGGCCCGTGGAAAGCCTGACGCCGCACGCCGCACTTCGCGGGTTCAATTCATTCACCTTTAAACGACCCTACAGATCCGCTTCTCGACCTGTCGAAACCCGATTTGATAACGCTCAGATTTTACGGTGAAAAGTATTTTTTCCCCCAGCATTAACATTTTCCCTCGACGTGACAAACCGTCGATTTACGCGCGATACGTTAAACTGTCGGCCGACCCTCCACCTTCTATCCGACTTCGCCCTTCGGCGGGGAAACGTTCTGCCTCTCGTTCACGGGGATAAATTTGAACGGGCAAATTTTTGCCTTAGGTTGCAAAGCTGTTATACTCTTATCGTTTATTCCTTTATGCCCTTGCATAATTTATTACCGACGTAGTCATTTTATTCCTGATTTGCATTGAATTCACTTGAACTCTTGTTTGTAGACATTCATAGAAAGAAAAAAAAAATCAACAACAAAGAAAAAATAAATAAAACAACACTTTTGAGGTGTATTGATTATTTAAATTTTGTCAGGTTCGCACTCGACTCGTTAACACCCTTCATTTGTGATTTTTTAAACTTTATTTTTGAAACTCTGATTGATATTTATGCCATGAAAAAGTATAATTGGCATTTTTATTCCTTTTGATCGAAGTTTTGAAAAGTTGTCAAATTATCACATTAGGTTGCAATGCTGTTATATTGTTATCACTTTTTGAATGTCGGCCATAGATTTTGTTTGGTGTGTTTATCATTTGCTTATTTCACTCTCATTTGTCTAATTTTAATAATACTTTTTTTCTTTTTCAATTTTGGACAGTTTTCTTTCGTTTTTATTGCTGTGGAAACAAGTTAAAAAAAAAACTAGCTTGAAAAAATTTAATTTTCGGCATATTTAAAAAATCTATCGTAAAGAATCTTGTCCTCTGTACACCAATAGCAAGGAGCTACTGAATTCCACTAAAGTTACTAGTGCTGAAATAGCAGACTGGCATAGAATCCCCAAACAAGACTTAAAATACAACTCCGAAGACTTAGGTCCAAAATTTGTTTTCACTATCAAAATACAACTAATTAGAAATAAATATAACAACATTTTTGAAATGTATAGAATAATTTGGACAGGTTTACCTCATCCATCTTGTTGGCATCCTTCATTTGTGAATTTTTTAATTTTTATAGTTAAAACTCTGATTGATATTTACGTCCTGAAAAAAGTATAATTGGCGATTTTTATTCCTTTAGACAAAATTTTGAGAAGTTGTGACAAATTATCACATTAGGTTGCAATGCTGTTATGTTGTTATGATTTTTTGAAGGTCGGCCATGGATTTTGTTTGGTGGTGTTTATCATTTGCTTGTTTTCCTCTCATTTGACCAATTTTAATAAAAAAAATTTCCCGGGTTCAATTTTGGGCAGTATTCTTTCATATTTATCACTGTGGAAGCGAAAAAAACTGAAAATTTTCTAATTTTTGGCTTATTTAAAAATATGTCTTGCCATCTGTCTGTCAATAGCAAGGAGATACTGAATTCTGCTAAGTCAGATACTAGTATTGAAACAGCAGACTGACTAGAATCCTGAAACAAGACTTAAAATACAACTACAAAGACTTTTAGGACCAAAATTTGTTTTCACTATCAAAACACAACTAATTAAAAATAAATATAACAATACTTTTGAAATGTATTGGCAGGTTTAATTTAGGTTAATTTTTTTAAAATTACGCTTAAAACTCTTCATTGTTTCCTTTTGACCAATTTTTGATGAGAATTTGGCTCAGATGATCACATTTGGTTTTAATGCTGTTATATTGTTATCACTTTTTTTTAAAGGTTGGCGATGGATTTTGTGGATTTTGCCCTCATTTGACTTATTTTCATGTTCTGCCTCAATTTAGAGCAGTTTCTTTCTTTTTTATCGACGTACAAGCAAAAAAAGAATTTTTCAGAAAATTTTTAATTTTTTTAATATGTTTAAAAAAAATTATCAAAAACAATCTTGTACATGAATAGCGAGGATCTACCAAATTCAATTAAAGTCAGGTAGTTACACATGAACAGCAGATTGATGACAGATTGTTCAGACAAGACAAGCTCTTAAAAATGTGTGTAGCATGACTTCGAGAAAGCTTATGACACCATGTGGAAATGCGGAATAGTCAAGATGTGCCAAGAATGAGGGCTTAGGGAGAATATCCTAGGAAATTTAGAGTTAAATTGGGTACAATATTATCGGAAGAATAGTAAAATGGAATTCTCCATGGATCGGTACTTTCTGTGACACTGGGATTGCAATAAATAACATAGCAGACAAAATAGAAGCATCTGTACTTAAATCACTAAATATTGGTGATCTAAATATTCTTTTAAGCAGAACAGAATTTAATGATATTGGTATAAAAGTTTGACCTCAACATTTTGTAAATGAACTGACCTAATCTTGCTTCCAAAGGTTCCAAACCTTTCTTGAAACCATCCTAAGCCAATCCCTCTACACTTTCCCATCCTGAAAGCCTACCACACCACCTTAAATGATGATTGCTACTTAATGCCTCACATTGAGTGCCTGTATCGGTTTGGTTTCTTTAAAGGCCCATCTTTGGACTTTACAAATCGTCACTATTGTGTAAAGAGTGGGTCATGCAGAAGCTGATGGTGTGATGATAATGGCGAGGGATGGCTTTGGGAACGGATTTCCTCCTGCATCAAAGGGGACCAGAGCATGTACAAACAAGATGCACTATAAATACTTACCCTGTGTTATCACACAATATCCCATTATCTACGAGTGTGGGGATGGTTGTAGTACTAGACTCCACTGATATCCGCTATCATTCCGACCCCTACAGTGGGTCATTGCATACAGGAGACATAACTTGTGTCCTCCGGTTGCAGTACATAGTGTCAGTGTTGAAAAATAAATATGAAAGGCTAATTTTATACGATCTCTAATTTGGTGCGCCTCACAAAGTATATCACACTAAATAAACAGTCTACTGATAGTAATATATTATATGCTTTTTTATTTGGTCCAATTAATCAAAGTAATTTTGTACTGTTGTTGTTTAATTATTATGCAAAATATGGTTATGATAAAGTAATGTCACAAATGGGACTCAAACCGATGACCTCTGGGTCAGTACCCCGGTAGAAGTGCTAGGGTGCTGATCTGGAGTTCGTGGGTTTGCGTCTTGCTTGTGACAATAATTTTTCAACTGAACAGTTCTTTTCATAACAATTAAAGTCTGCTGGTAGTTGGTCAACTTTCAGTTGGAAAGGAAGTAGGGAGCCTATCCAACTTTGACTGGCAGGTATCAACTGACTAGATTCGCTTGAGTATGCACACACATGAGATATGCTGAATAAGTGGGTAGTGTGCATTGGTCTTTAAAAGAGTTGGTTTTATTAATAAGCATATTTATATTTTTGTTACATCAAGCTTGTGAATAAAAATGGATTTATACCTTACTGCAATGCTTTTCGCAAATTTTTTGTTCTATATGGCAATTGTTTAAATGTTTTTCCAGACACTTGAATTATTCTTAGTGAAGGAAGTCAACTACGTTGTAACCGACCGTGAAAATTATTTACCAGGGCGAAATAGCTACTCCAACGTTCCAACACCGTCTCCTTTGCCGTTTTGCAGTATTTCACCAGCTACGACAGATTCTCCTAAAGATGGAGTGATCACCTTTAGAGCCGTAAGTGAAATTTTTTTTGTAATTTCCCGCTTTATATTATTATTATTATTATTTTTTTTTTTTGAAGCGGTCTCGTGCAGAGACCATGTTAGAGAGAGTGAAGAACCAGCCACAAAAGACAACTGGAGACATTTTAGACAACGCTATCGCCTGGAAAATTCCCATATATCCTTTGCACAGGGTTGGTAACAAATTCTGTTATTTTGTTTTTACGCCTGTTTATACATTGTCATTTTGTGCAGTTTGTAAGCTGGTTAGAAAAAGTCGGAAAAAAAGTTGAAAAACTTGCAGGCGACACTGGTTTACTAGTTGGTCGGGGTGTGCGCGAACTTCGAGGTTGTTTTCTCAAGATTGAAACCACTTCGAGGCCTGAATTCCGGCAGTTTTCATCTTGGCCTAGCTTAGGGCTGACTAATCATAAAACTAACCAGTTGAATGGCAATGACTTGCAAAGGTAATTTTTATCTACACTTGCGCTAAAAATTACATTTTTACAATGATTATAATTACAATGAAATTTCCAGAATGACAAGAAAAGTGAACCGAACTGCGAAAGAAGCTACTTCTGCACCAGGTGGTGGCAATGGGTACTGTGAGGTTGGTTTTTGTTATTACTTTGTATAATAAAGTCAAATAATTACTAATATCAGAGAAATAAGACAATTTTTAGATATATTAATAAAAACAATGATTTTTTATTGTGTATTCAACCTTTAATATTGCTTTTTTCAGATGTGTAGAGTGTGCTATGATCAGCTAGACACACATGTGTTATCAGCACAACATAGTAAATTGGCTAATGACTCTTCCCAATATGCCCAACTTGACTCTATAATTGCTCAACACAATTTAGGGTAATTTTTTAAATTTAGTTCTCTATAAACTGTAAAAATATCTTGGCTTACTATTACGATTATGAAAACAAGGAAAATTGTATTATTACATGATTAATCTTCAAGCGGGCGCGACTTTTTTTTTGGCACTTGTGAGCACAGGGCCGTAGTCTACTGCCAATTCATTTTCACGTGTTTTCATCCAATATCCCATCCCGATCCTTTGAAATAGGGGTAATTTTGATAGCAGCTCCAACACAGATGTTTAAACATTGAAAAAATTTATTCAAAATGACAAATTGAATCACAAGTAATACGAGACAGACATACAGACGATATGTCTTTTGAAGAAAATGAAGAGCAAAAAAAAAATCGCATGAAAAAAATGAAACCTGTGAAAAACATTGTGCATTACCATCTGAATCATTTTGATTCGACGGATGTCCTTATGTTTAGAGAAACCTGTCCTAAAAAATGTGAAAAAAACACCTTATGAGGAGAAGATAAATGTACACAATGTAGGTTGGTATATGTGGGAGGTATCTACTTATATTAATATTATTATTTTATGATTAGAACGTACTGATAATAAGAGAAAGAGAGAGAGGTAGGAAATATTAATGAAGAAAACAAAACAATCTTACCTATAAGAAAAAATTGATAATAATTTGGATTTATATGAAAAAATTTGATAACAGTACATAACTGGGATTCATTAGCTAATAATAAACAGTGCAGTGCACTGAAAAACGTTAACACATTATTGCTAATACTCATTCGTTAAACTTACAAAAACACAAAATTGATAATTACATTTCGTTGTGATTGTCAATGTAAGAATGAAACTTTAGCGCAAGGCGGTAAACTACTCTGAATGTTTGACAGGGATGGCTCGCCGATCCGGAAGATGATTAATTTGCAATTTAGTTTCATATATTGTAAGTTTAGAATACAATCCCCACACAGCAAAAATGTAGAAAGAGTTGCTCATGTTTTTATGCCAAGGGTGGTTGATTTCCGCCTAAGTGCTCCCGCATGAAGGTACAATTGAAATTACAGATTGTTAGGATGGCTTATGACTTAAGAAAAAATTATGATTGTTGTAGTTTTTTTTTTCCATTTAATTTGGTAATTTTTTTTTTTTAATAGGGTTGGCGCATTGAGGAAATCACTTAGGATAGCTAAATCCCCTCCTCCGTACCTACCACCAGAGATGGGAGGCCGACAAAGTACTGAGAGTGCTTGTAAGCAGTCTTCACCGGTGCTATCGTCGCCGATTTCCATTCCAAAATTGAACGGTCATATCACAAGATCAACCTCTAGGATCCACATGGTTGTCCCGAGAGTTAATCTCGGCACTCCTGTATCCCTGCCTCCGCATTTCAACGGGATCGAGTTGAGGTCGAAGAAGACACCTTTAAAAGATACCAAAACGCCGACGAGCGGCTCTGATCATGAAGAGAAAACTAAGGTTAAAAAGCCATGCTCCTCGCCCGTTCCTGTTGCTGCCTCACCTAACAAACATTCTTCGGCTTCTTCCCCATCAGTCGAGCACAATTTGCGATCGAGGAAATGTCAGGTGAAGCAGTCAAGCCCAGCAGCTGAAAATCCTGTTAGGAGTCCAGGCACCAAACCACTTCCAGTGCTGAGGGCGATTCCAATAGTTCCAAAAAGTCTTGCGAAAGCACCCGCAAAATCGTCGAGGACGTCTAACGTGAATAAACTCTCATCACCGCCACCTCCACCCCCACCTCAATCTCAATCGCCCTCAAAGAGGTTAATAAAAAAGAGGTTGTCTGTTGAGGAAAAGCTCATAGAGGATAACAAGTCTTATTACAAAGTTGAGGTTTTAAACAGCAAATTGAGATCGACTGATTACTTTATTTCTCAAAAACAGGTAATTTTCATAAACAGTAATTTTTTAAAATTAGAAATTAGTTAATTATTATATTAAAAAGTAGGTTAAAATGTGTTGGTTTTTTGCATGCTTGTTTTTGTTTGAATGTACATTAAAAGGAAATTTATTTCCATCAAGGTTGAAGCTAAACTCAATGGGAACAGCACATCAAACAACAACAACCAGCTCAAGTCTCCTAATGAGGTTAAATCTGTGGTTGTTCGGTTTAAAAAAGTGCGTAAGTCCGAGTTGGCCGTATTGAGCGACGAGGCAGAAAGTTTCATGTTCGGCGAACCCAAAAAAGAGCTCGAGCAACACTCGTTGAGCGATGAGAGAGATGAAGAGTCTGAACAAGATGCCTCCGAGTCCGAGGAGGATGTCAAAACGACAAAAAAATCGAGCAGACGTAGCGAGAGGAGTCATTCGTCCAGCAAGTCGGAAGAAACTAGGATCAAAGAGGAGGAGTTCGATTTAACTAAAGTTAAACAGGAAGTTGAAGACTCGTCCTTTCACGAAAAGGTAAACATTTTTTAAACAAGCCATTAATTTTATAATATGAAATAATTTATGATTAAAAATAAGGATTTAAATTTTTTTATGTCAGGGATTCAAAATATTTATTCCTCTCAAAAACATAAAAGAAAAATAACGGAACAAAAATTAATTTGTATCAATTAAAGTTTTTAGTTGAGATAAAAAAGTCAGTCATGAGCGGGATTTGAACCCACAATGTTCAGCTAGATACGCCGCTGCTCAATTAAAAACCTTAATTAATTGAAAGATATTAATTGGTCAAGTGGACCACAAAAACTAGTGGAATTAATTTGTATACTGTATAAATTGTAAAGGTATCTTTAGTAATTTTTTTGTTGAAACTTTCTGTAATATTCATAAATTTAATTGATCCCTGAAACTGCAAATTTATAATAAATCACTTTCTTTTGATTGGTTAAAATTTTTTTTATATCGTGGTATATTATTTCCTGGCTTGTGCTAACATTTCCAATTTATTTATTTTTTCAGGTGATGTTCTCTTTTGAGATGAAGCCAAGGCAAGAAATTTGGATGACTACTTACCAGAGACAGGCTGAAGGGAATGAACATTATATTCCTCAATACCATACGTACCCCGGTTCAGTCATGTTGCCGTACGAGTTACCCTGGGCCAAGAGAAAATACAAGAAAAGTTTCAAATCGTTTGAAAGCAAAATCCCTCAACACTTGCTTCATGAAAAGCCGAGAAAATCACCTCGATGCCATGCATCGACCCTTGCTATCATGTCGTCGTTGATACCAAGAAGGAGGTTGCAAAGGGAGTGTACCGACAGGCCTGTCAGTTATGAAGAGGAATCCTCACTTACAGAAACGGTCGAGTCTTCAACTTCGGCTTCTTCCATAGCACCGAGATTGCAGCCGGAAGTGGTCACTAGTGCAACCAAAGATTTAGTCGATATAGATAAAATCGACACGGATCCTGCCACTTTCTTGGGTGTCGATCCGACGTGTGTCCAGGAAGCTGAACCTCTGATAAGAAAAGCTGGATTCGATCTCAGCCTTGAAGCTCTTCTGTCCAGTAGCCTCCAGGGACCTTCGTTTGAAATTGAAGAATCCCATCCGCCAAACCATAAATTGTTCAGTAATTTACGATATGTGAATATAGACTCTTGTGCATCTTCTGAGTGTTCGGATTTTTTTGGTTTCCTCGACGACGGACGTGTTGTGAGTAAGAAGAGAAAGAGGAAAAAAAGGAACATGACGGGCTGGCCCAACGAATCCAAATACAAAAGAAAACTGAAGGAGAAGGATGGGCCCTCCTCCTCTTCTTCCATGTTCACTATGACTGATCCCAGTTTCCCCTTTGCCACCGGCCAACACGGCACAATCCCATCTTCCTCGCTAATTTTACCCAGGAAGCGTGGAAGACCCCCAAAAAACCGCTTCAAGCTAGTGACGCCGACTCTGCTCTCCTCTCCCCACACTGCCTCCGCGACTTCGCCTCGGACCCAGGAACTCGAGAGAAAGAGCGAGGAAGAACCAAGGTTGAAAAGGAAACTGTTCAGGATTTTCACAAATAGCGTAAACTAGCTAGTCATATACGTGCTAAATAGACTATTCACTCCTTTCCCTGATGTAAATAACTAATTTATTAATAATACACTAAAGAGATCATTCAGATGGGAATCTTATGTGAGTTTCTTATTATAAAGACATTTGAGTCGAGAACAGTATTTTTTCCACAATTTTTTGAAATAGAGGGATTTGTGTATTTATGTATAGAAAAAAATTATTTTGTACATTATTTTCTAGTGTTTTCTAAAAAAAAAAATTTACATATCCCAAGTTGTTTTACTTTTGGGAAATTTCCAGAGGTTCTATTGTAATAAATTTTTGTAAATATTTTATATAAATATATACATTATTTAATTTTTAGAGAAAGATTAAAAAATGTTATATGTTAATTTTCTGTAAATGGAAAGAATCTCATTTTTAGTTTTTAATAACATTAATTTTAAAAACATCTATTAATAGTTTAATATATTGTATTTTTACTTTTTTAATTTATGAATGTTGTCTGTTTATTATTGAACAATAAGGTTATTGAACAATAATTTGCTATGAATCAAACAATACGCATTTGGGTGGGAGGATTTCCAAAAATGAGATCCTTATAACGTACAAATTCCTAATGTTAAAAACAAAACAAAAAAACGCTTAATTAAGAAGAAAACTTATATTTTAAATTTAAAAGACACATGTAGCCTTGAAAGGAAAAAAGTAATATTTAAAAAATGTGTTATTGTTCCTAAATTGTGGGTTAGTAAAATTTTGTATACGATAGGAATGAGACCATTCAATAAAATATGCCCCGGTAAAATAAAAATGGAATCAGTATTAAGTTAAAAACAGACATTTCACACGTTTATCTCAAGTCGAAAATATTAATTTTTTTTTTCAAATTTTGCACATTTTATTTTTGTATACATGTCTCAATGCCAAAATGTTTTTTTTTCTCCATTGTGTTGGAACAGGGTGTTTGTATTAGTGAGTTTAGTGGCTTCTGGGAACTTTCAACGGTAAACAGACATTGGGCACTTTAAAATTTATTTGTAATAATTATGTTATTTAACCGAATAGACCTGAATGAAAAAGAAGTTATAAATATATATTATACCATTTTTATATTAAATTTGGTGTCTGTGTGCACAATTCCAGATCCTAATCGTAAAACTGACCTCAGCAAGTACATGCATACGTTGGAAAGTTTCACTTAATTAGATTAAAAATAAGGAGTCAAGTGAAGTTTACAGTACAAAAGCTCAAGACCCATTTTTTTTTTTTTAATTAAACCATGACAAAATAAATAGTCAAAATTACTCACTTTTTTAAACTACTAATTCTTACATTTTTATTTTATCTTTACTTTATTCTCTTATACTGCTGTATTTCTATAAATGAATAAACTTTCAAACTTAACAGTCATTTAAACTTACAGTTTGGTAGAGAGTCAGTTTCTGTATTTTAATTATTTTTATCTCTATAAATTAAAAGAACAAAATGAAACCGATATAAGAAGAATCTTAACTATAACAGCATCAGTAAAGCCTCGAGTCGAACATCTTCTTCCTTATGTGGACTCTGTTGTGTTTGGCCAAATGGTCCGAACGTGAGAACCGTTTAGGGCACTCAGAGCAGGAATAAGGCCGGTGGCCCGAGTGGGAGCGCGAGTGCCTGCCGAGTTCATCGGATCGGCTGAACCTCCATTGACAGCCAGGCCACTCGCAGCGGAACGGTTTCTCACCAGTGTGACGACGTAGGTGCGCTTTGAGGTGAGACGCCTTTGAGTAATCTTTGGGGCAGCCTGGATACGGGCATTCAAACTCTTTCCTCTGCGGTTCCTGTAATAAAAAACCCACTAATTTAATGAAGCTAAAATTGTTGTACTGAGTTTATTGTAGGTCTGCAGGTAATCAAGTTTGATCATTTTTGGCTACAATAAAAACTAGTACGTACGCTGAAGATAATGAAAAGCTGAAACGAAATGTCTGTCAGGCCAAATTAGCAATACGGACCAAAACAACAGTACTTTTATTTATTAAAATTGCTTATAAGTTAGAAGTGTATGGTGGTACCTCAGGTGAGAGAGCCCGCTGGTATTCCATTGCAAATTGTGGCTGCGGGCTGGTTTCTGGCTGGAAGAGCCTGACTCCGAGAACGTCTAGGTAGATAGATGCTTCTTCTATGACCGAGTTGGAGCAGAGCTCATCACAGAGCGGCGTCCTTTCTGGAACTGGCGTTGGGTTCTCCAGTTGCCAGTCAGATGACAGTGATTCCAATGACAGCAGCAACTCGTCCACTTCGTCCATCTGAAAATGGGCAAAGTCCTGTCCAGAGATTGAGAGAAAATGCCACTTTCTTGTAACAAATCCGAATCAAAACGGAAAAACAATTATAAAAACATTTCTCAATTTGAAACTTTGTTAGTTTGCCTGCTAAGCTTTCGATATAATGTAAAATCGTGGTGAAACAAAGCTTACAACTTCATGCCTAAATCTACTAAAGTTTCTGACGGAAATGGAAGACATTTTCTTTCAGAATAATTTACCGCCATTCATTTTAATTTGGATTGCCCGGTTTAGCCGTTAGCGCTTTTTCCAAAAGGCATCGATGTTTTCACATTTGTTAAAAATGGAAGCCATTTTCTTTCAGAATTATTTAACGCAATTTAAAATCTTTGGCGTTTAGACTTAAATTCTCTATTATTTACCAGTAGCAATATATGCCTGCTATTATTAATAATCCCAGCGGTCTTCGTTCTGTACAACCGCCATCCATTTTACTCTGAAATTCTGGATTGCCAGTTTTGTGCCTTTTTTTGAAAAATGATATTTCGATACCCACCTTGTTTCACTTGTAGTTGAGTTTTCGAGCAAATATTCAACGTTTGATGTATCGATTGTCGTGATGCGAGATTTAACTAAGATAAAACAACTTGATGTAATAATTTGCATGAAAAAAAGATTTAAAAAAATCATTCACGTGTATAAATATCAGGAATGTAATATGTACAGTGTCCATCTTATTTCTTACACAAACAGAATTTGTAATAATCCCCTGAATCTGCGTCCTATCTATTTATTATTTATCACATATTGGCCGATTTTAATTTTCCCCGTGTATTTCATTTAAATGCTATTTTATAAATATGATTTTTAACGGAAGCTGGGCTTTTAAAACACGTTTTTCAAGTCAAAGTCAATAAATTGACCAGTGCGTTATTTTCTTTGGGCTTAAATGTTAATAATAGTCATTACTACTTATTTGAAATAGAGTCGAGATTGTAGCTTTTTTTGGACAAATTTGTTTCTTGCAATTTCTTTTGAGCAATTCGAGGCCGGCGGCCGGCACAAATCCGCCAAATTTATATTCCATCAGGGTATAATTAAAAAAAAAGTTACTACTCACCATGTCTGCACGCTCCAGAGATTTCCTTCTGACTAATAACCCTGATCCTGTTGGAAGGACAACGGCAAAGCGTCCCCTGGGACGTCTCTGGTCGCCCTTATCGCTGCACATGCCTCTTCAGCTGGACAAGAAGATAATCGGCAACTTGTCCGCTCGTTAGGCCAATTATTGCTGTTTAAAAGCTGTTTCTGGAAAACGATACCCGCTATTTACAGAACGAACGAGGAATTTTTTCGTTTATTTTAAAACTCTTCGTGTTTTGATCTGGCACAATCGGTGTCCGTATCGCAGGGCTTCCAAACTTTTTAGCCATCGGACCCCTTTCACAGAACAAAATCCAGGACGGACCCATCGCATTCAAGTATTTAAAATCTTACTATTGGGTTGTCCGGAAAATAATGCAGGATTTTGGTATTAAACAAAAAAAAAGAAACTAGTTACTTTAAAGCAATGTTCTTTAATCAAAATAATTTCCCATACTCTCAATACATTTCTCCCAACGTGTTGGTAACTTATTAATTCCGTCTGAGTAGAATTCAGAATTTTTAGAATTGATAAAGTCAATAAATGCATTTTCCAGT